AGTCAACGAGTTGAAACTAAAAGATGTAAAAAATTTACTTACAAAACATTATGACTCTAACTGGGCTAACATGGAAGAGTTAATATTTTACGAAAACGTCCTAGCTAGGGATCATAAGTACCTCGAAATCCGAGACTGTGATGAGTGTTGTGAATATGAAATCGAAGAAACATTAGATTTTGTTTGATATTTCATTTCGTTTCAACGTAATTATCAAAATTAAAATTTAGAAATCAAAATAAGGAACGAGATTATTTTTAATTGAAACTAATATTTTCAATAATTACTATACTATATTAAAGTTTTGTAGTTAATCCGATAAAGTTTTTTTTTGTTTCCTGTAGTATCCGGTATATCCAATCCAATCATTATTTTTGCTCTTGGGCCTTAGTCCTGCCCTTCTAAGTTATTAAATCAAACTAAACTAAGTCCTACACTTCTGTTTTTTTGTAATAAAAATTGGAGTAGATTATATCCACTTAAAAATTACATTTTAATGTGCTAACTGATTTATTTACACAGGTGAAATGTTAGACAAAGATGGAGTATATCTGGTTTAAGAAATTTTATTATCTCAAGAATTTTACATTCACTTATGAGACTTACATATCTACAGCTTAATATAAATTTGGTTTGGGCTATTCGTACAAGGTAATACTGCAAATTACAACAAAAACTATCGAAGACATACAAAACTAAATGTAGGTAAAATTTTGTTTAGCGACAGCAATGGCTCGTCAGACTTCATGCGAATTCGGCCGCCGACTTCTTAATGTCGATTTACACAGATAAGCATTACTGGATGTGACTTGCATGAACTGTTATTATTAGTATCGTAGATTAGTTTTGATAGTTAAGAAAAATCTGATTAAGTGTCATGTATGAAAATTTATATCTTTAATGAGATGTTGTAATATTTATATTATATATTATTTCGAAGTAACTTAAATAATTGATGTTTTTAGTGTATAAGCAGATGTTAACTTAGATATTATGTATTTATTTATATCAGTTATTGAAACATGAAATTATTCATACATATATATTCCTATACAACGAATCTATATATCATTTCAAATAAAAAAAAATCAAAATAAGAGATTAAACTAATTTCAATAATTACTATACTAAAAATCCGAAAATTTTCCTAACCACCAACAATCTCTTCCTTAGTCCTGCCTTCTAAGTTATTAAAAAACAAGCTAAGTACCAGGATTTGCTTAGGAGAGATATATCCACTTAAAAATTACAAATGTGCTAAGATTATATATATATATATATATATATATATATATATATATATATACATATTATATTATTTATATATGTATAAGTGTGCTTACAGTCTCTTATATCTTTAGGTAATTTGTTATATATTTAGGAACCTTCATAAATTTTACATTTTTTACCGAAATTTGTTCGCGGTGCAATTAATTCAATATCATTGTTTCGCCTAAGTTTCATTTTGTGTAGTTGTGTTCTTTTTGGTAAAGTTGTATTCGTGTGTTTATCTTTATTTAAAATTTTCTGAATTAGTATACAATTTTGGTTCTTGGTACATGTATGTTTGTGATATGTTTATTACATTACATTTATTTGTTTATAAAGTTTATCTGTCGGTGTATGATAATCGAAATGAAATAATACATTTAATAATTTATTTTGGGCAGTTTGTAATATTGCTATATTAGTTTTGGCTGCATTACCCCAGATATCTACTTAATAATCGATTTGTGGTTTAATTGAGCCAAGTTAATTTACTGTCTAAAATAAGACCTAGATACTTTTCTTGATCCGCCTTATTAATTTTTATGCCATTAATCATTAACGGACTACAGTCATCAATCTATTTGTTTTTTGCAGCAAAAATCATATAACTGGTTTTGTTTGTGTTGTTCGTCAAAAGATTGCTCTGTAACCATTCGTTTAGCGAATCCAAATCATTTTGTGCTTCTGATACAATAGATCCGATTGAGTGACTATAATAAAAAAGATACGTATCATCGGCGTACAAGGTTGTATCTCCACTTAAGCCTATCTTATTAATATAAAAAAAAAAATATATATATATAAGAAATAGTAGGGGCCCCAAGATAGAGCCTTGAAGTACACCAAAAGCTACTGTTCTACAAGAACTTTGTCTATTATCTATTTTTACTACTTGTTGGCGATTACTTAAATAAGATTTGAAAATAGCTAATGCACTGTTTGTTAAACCGATCTTGGCAAGTTTGTGTAATAGCAACTCGTGGCTCACTGTGTCAAAGGCTTTTTTCAGATCTATAAATACACCAAGTGCAATTTTTTTCTTGTCTAAATTCAACTTTACTTTCGTTATAAGGTCTACTGTAGCAGATAGTGTATTATATACTAAGAAACAGTCAAGGAGGGACTAAATCACCGTATACCGCTTGTAGCTAAAATAAAGCAAAAACATCAAACACAGACGACTGTTTTACTAGACATGAGAGACGCAACACTTTGAAAAAGTACAGTATACCGACAATATTTTCTGGTAGTACCAATACCAGTAACTATAATAGTTTTGGATTATTACTTCCAATGTATTTTAACGGGGATGATGGTGGATATCGTATCTTCCATTACCGCCCGGAAGTCTAAGGAGTAAAATGGAGTCCCTGGCGGACGGTATGGTGCAAAGATCCTTAGTTCCTCGCCTACCGCCTCCATTTTTTGCCGAAAGAGCGCATCGTTTGATAATGTGGCAGGTCGAGCTCTTGATGGACAATATCTCTCTTCACTAGAACTGCCGTCCCTCTGGAGGCAATCCCTTGAGGATTGACGTCGTCCCGCCTGTATATGTGGTAGTTTGGTAGCTTTAGTTGCATGGATGGTCTATGGTTAGTATCTCCCAGCAAGATAACCTGGATGCCCTGTTGTTGGGCGACTGTACGGAGTTCATGGAGCTTATGCTGTATCCCATCCGCATTTGACTAGAGGAGGCGTAGGTTACAATCTTTCGTAGTAGCGCGCCAGTAATGTTGCCAGCGACTTCATTACGGCGGTAATAGGATCAGTCCCGGCCTGGATATCAGCCAGGACTTGAGTGACGTCCTCGATAGCAGTGCCTATCAACTTCAGGACAGCATCAGTTGTCTCGTGGCTGGCTGGTGGTGGTTGTCGTCTTGTTGATGAAGGCGAAGAATGGTCTCGGTGTGTTGATAGTAGTTTATCTCCTTTGGGTAGAGCGCGCTCTGTGTGTGGAGCGGACCCTATTTTTGGATAGAGCCACGTGCTCTACACACGTTGGTGTTATTCTTTACAACGCCAGTAACCTACGCCGACGAGGCTAACGGTAATGCCAGTGTCGGGGTAGAGGTAACAGCCTGAGGAGGAGGCTTCCTCTTCTTAGAGTGCTGACATTTCGTGGCATCATTAGCGGGGGCTGGAGAGTCACCCCGGTGGTTGCCCTCGTCTCAACAGGTTCCACCGTTTTCATTTGGTGCTACGGGTAGGGGGAGGGGAGCTGACTGCCTACCCTTTCTTCTGACGATAGCCCATCCGTCTTCTTCGATAGTTAACACTCTTAGGCGACTCTGGGAGATTCCCTACATGGAAAAGTCCAAAAGTCAACACAAAATGACATTCACACGAAAATGGCGTACGAAATGAATGTAGTTATAAATAAATATTCATAGACTAACTGACATTTTATTCCACTAGAGGATAGAAATCTGACCCCTTTCCCGAACGGACAGGCATTAGCAGTGTGGCTTAATTTTCTGTTAAGCTTCTGGAAATGCCAGAGGCACTCCGCAACGATAGGCGGAGTGTCTCCTGCATGACTACTACTTGTTATACGTGGTAGAGCCATGCTGTAGTTATATTAGTAGTATAGTTGTAGCATGAATGGGTCGGCTCGACCGGGGAAGGTCTCACAGAATACCACCGTGAAATAGCAGTTTAATGCTGCTGTGTTTCGTATGGTGAGTGTAGAGAACCGGAGACCCTCTTTACTGGAAACGAGGCATTCCATCTTAGTCCTCACGGGTGACAACGTATCTGCATTTTGATTTGTAATCGAGGATAGATGTGGATGTCTATGGACCGCAGCAATCACTTACCATCAGGTGGACTGTGTGCTCGTTTGTCACCCTATCCTATAAAAAATGACCAAATGACTGCTTTTGTTGCTTAATGTTTCGTCTATTAATTTATAAAATAAATGTATATATGTATTTGTGTACGTTCAGCAGCTCCAAGATTCGCTCTCTGACTGACTATGAGTAGGTTTAGGTAAAAAATATCGATATTTTGTTTACGGTATTGAATTCGTATCAATTTCAATATAATTTAAATATTATATTTATTTTATAATTTAATAGACAAAACATGAAGCAAAAAAAGCAGTCATATGGTCATGCCGGTAGGAGATAAGGAGGACAATCCCCTATAGCAGAATAGTTGAAAATGTGTCCATCTGTAAGCAGTAACAGTTTAAAAAATCTCCACATCAGTGCTCGAGTAGTTAGAGGGTATGAAATGAACTTAGCAGTTGTCAATGGAGTAAAGTGAGCTGAGTTGAGAAATTTAATATTTGTGGTGACTTGAGTATTTGATGAAACTGCAGTATTTAAAACCTCAACTACTTACTTTGTCTTAAATAATTTAGTAAATATAACCTTGAAATAGTCATCGTAAAACACGTTGAGAGTGATTTTGAAAATAAATATTTTGAAAACAGTAAAATAATTATTATAAAAAGAATTATGGTGAAAGTCTGTGCAATAAAAAATTATAAAATTCTTTAAAAATTACACTGTAGCTACAGTGGCGCCACTCTTATTTAGCGATTTTCTATGGACACTTTTTTATACAGACTCTCTCCGGCGGGAAGTCAATCGTCATCGCAAATCGTAGGTTTCTCTGTCTACGGCAAATCGCGATCATGTATTATCTATGGTTCCATGTGCAGGTTTTGTTTGCATCGACTAGTTAAACATAGTTTTTTACTATAAAGCAATTTTTCTGCAGACAAAATGCAACATGATGATGTAAGAAAACCGTTGCGTTGTTTTCTGGTTATATTAATGCACTTAAATCTCTCCTTAAATGTCGTGTTTATAATTTTAGGTTGTGTGGGCCATAATCAACAAGACACATTGTTCACATAAAGTATCGTAAGAAAACTTTTATATTTTTTATTTATGTATAAATTTATGTATTTCATTAATTCATGAAAATGTTATGTTTTGTATCTATGTATTGGTCTAAAATTTTGATTAAATTTATTAAGTTATTAATTTGATTTATTAGTACAAAAACTCAACATTTCTGCCGCAATGAATATAACCTAACGGGTTTATGCAGCCGTTCATCCTGCCCTCTTGCAAATAGTAAATATGCGACAATTAGAGAAGAGAATGGTATTATTTATTTGTATATGAAAACAGCAGAAAGGTACTATAGAACTTATGTAATAAATCGTGTTTATACTAATTTATTCACTATTTTTTTAGTTACTTACAATTGCCTTGGTTTTTGTAGAATAATGTTTCCTGCTAAACAATGGGAAAAAGTAAAATTATCAAGGAATTTTGAAAAAGCTATTTACCAGATCAATGAAAATCTTCTTTACTGGCCAGCATTTATCAGAGCTAAATGTAAGCAGAGATTTGTGAAAATTACACAATACCTTATTCGGATGAGAAAACTGAAATTAAGAAGAGTGTAAGCCAAAGAAAAGTATTATGTGTTACATTATAAATTATATATGATTAAACATGACATGAAATTGATAAGGAAATTTTATGTCTTATTACAATCTTGTATACTAACTGTTATTATTTTGGAGATAATAAATACAACCCAATTTTATTCCAGAAAAGAACTAGTTCCAATTCAACGAAAGATTGAGAGGCGTGAGAGAAGAAGGGAGGAAAAAGCTCTTGTTGCAGCCAGAATTGATAATGCAATAGAAAAACAACTACTGGAGAGACTTAAAAAAGGAACTGTGAGTGTGTATAATAAAATAATTGGCAGTAGTAATTTTATTACATAAAAATAATATCATTCTAAAACAGTGCCTTAACCTATCACTCACTGCGCCCGCCATAACAAAAAACAGGCACTTGTTTTAAATATTTATGTTTCTCACGACCTTTCGTTTATGTTTGAAGAGCTTTTAGTTACAGTTATTTAAAGCCCATAAGATTTTCTTCGATAAGTAGAAACAATAACCATAACATATAAATGTTTATTTTATTTTGTACAGCTCTTTGTTTCTAACCGATCTTGATAAAGTGTACTTACTGACGATAATTTTATTTTATGAATGAAATATCGTAAGTTTTTATTTTATTTTTATGTCCTTACAATCAATACAACATATTCTTCCTAAATGAACCGAAATTATGCATGTAATAATTATAATAATTCTACTTTTTCACTTGCAAACATTTGCTAAAAATTCGACAATAGACAGTTTGCGCGCGCTTACTAAACTCATCTTCAAAACCTTTTTGTGTATATATTTTATATCGTCTTCCTTTATTTTTCTTATACAATCATGTAGATATAACATTTAGCAATTACTAGTAAAAGTATTTACTATGGTATTCCAATAAGAAATATACTATTATTATCTTATTAGAAATCTTGACCGTTACGAATTGTTTGCGTAGAGGTTTTTTTATTTCTACTTTTTTATCAATTGAAACATAAAAAGTTACTGTTGTTGTAACTTAAATCATTCAAAAACATTACGAAGTAAAGATAAATAACATTACTTACAGTTTTTTTGAAAGAAAATCCAACTAAAATCACAATCACAAAACTTCAACGATTACACAACCAACGGCACCGGCACGCAAAAGCGAATGGCCATTATATTTGATGATGTCTATGTAACCGAATGAATATAATGCTACAGAATATTCTTTAATTCGTTCAGAATCAAATGAAATAGTGTTCAATCGAAAATATACTGTATTTTTATATCAATTAATGACGAAAATAGCAGCACGTAATGCGGACATGTATACATGTCCTCTGTACTAAGCGGTCACAAAACTTGGACCTGTCAACATGTCTTGGTATGGTATGGTATCTTAGGGGTTAAGGCAGTATATTTAGAGACAAAATCAAGTTTTTCTTTTTTGGTAAAATTCAAAATGTCACAATGTCATAAAAGCTATACAAAATTTTCTATTCTGTGGTCTAAAAAAAAGTCAGATTTTACTTCATTACAAAAAGATTTTATTGTATTTTGATAACAAAAAAAGTATATACCAAGTGGATGTCGGCAGCGTGAAAATCACAATTATTTCTATATATTGAAATTATTTAAGTGAAAAGATAAATTATATTCACACAAAAACTTTCTTTATAATTTTATAGTAAAACACTATACTAAAACACCAATAAAACACTAGAAAAGTCCAAAAGTCAACACAATAACATTCACACGAAAATGGCGTACGAAATGAACGTAGATTATAAATAAATATTCATATACTAACTGACTTTTTATTCCACTAGAGGATAGAAAATTTCATATTGATTCTATAATGCCAGACTTCTTCATAGAAAAGTAGTCTCTAAACGTTTAGTATTTATGGGTTAAAGTGCTGTGGGTGGGTGTGGTCGGATCCAACCACTTGGGATTTGATGGAATAGTGCCGAGGTCGGATCCGACCATTTGAGGTTTGAGACGTTAGGTGTTGTAAGGGAAACTGAAAGAGGTGATGGACAGCAGCATCTTCCTAGTAAAAACACGAAATTTAAGTTGCTAACCTACCTGCCAAATGTGGCAAATAATATATTTCCCCGCTCCCACCTGATCAGACAATCTTTGGGAGAGCCCTATGTTCAGTCTTTGACTTTTATATGTTGCAATGGAATGAAATGGAATATGGCATACACTCAAAACTGTTTTTATTCTCAATATTGTAAATTTTGACTTAAATCTTGAGATTGTATATGAATACTGGTCTTAGTCTCTTATATTTGAATATTAGCCAGGTAAGGTTTGAAATTAAGTCACCTGAATTAGGGGGTGGGGGGTGGCATGGATGGAGGCAGGGGAGTTGGAATTGGCCACCTACTTCCCCCCTTGCCGGACGTGCTTAGTTTTTTTCATAAATTTTTAAAAATCTCGTTTTGAGGTTATGTTTTCGTAATGTTTTTACTATATATAAACCTGATTTAGGAGAGAGATGGAGAGGGAAGCCCCACACCACTCAATGTAGCACAGTGGAGGTAAGCCTAGTCCACGGAGTCCTGCTTCATGGGTCTCCTACTTCTGAGTGGTTTATAAAAAAATAACCACGAAGGGGATGGCGTCTATTCGCTCGCTTCGCTCGGTCATTCGACCCCGCCATCTCCTTCTAACCTAAACTGTCCGAGTTGGGGTGCCCTAAGTCCCAAGCTCGATTCGCTCGCTCTTACACACAATAAAACACCAATATATTAACTTTTAAAGTTTGGAAAATCCAAAAATGCACGCTTCACTAATCTCATTTTAGTATGTAAAAAGAAAAATATCTCTTTTTCCATATTTGAGACAAAAGAAGAGATCCATGAGAATATTTTTTTTGTAGAAAAGTACCAGTTGTTTTTTTACATTTTCTTTAATTACAATTAAATGAGACCAAATTACTCAGTAATTTTTAAAAGAAGCCTGTGTGTTGAGATTCTAAACCTAATAAAAAAAGAAATATATCTTTCTAATGACTGTATCGGATCGAAAATCGTAAACACATGGACATCCTCGAATTTTTTTTTTCAATCAGTTTGTTTTTACATTAAATATAGAAAATTACTTTTAAAAATAACAGAAACGTGAAAACAAGTGAATTTTCTCGATATCTCTATTTTTATTATTCTAAAAGTGCAATAGTAAAAAATAAAGACATTTTTAGCTCAGAAAATTACTGGATTTCCATTAGGTGAGAGTAGAGCACAACCTCAATGCTTCATTCATGAGGCGTGCAATAATTAATTTAAATTATAAACATAATTTATAGCTACAACCATTTGTAAAATAGGATCCAGAGGGTTAGTGTAGTCGTCGATAAACAGATGGAGGCAGATAAAAACATTAGGACTAAGGAGGAACATTCACGTAAACTCCAAAACAACAGAATGACGTAAAGTATATCTGTCACTGTCAACAAAATAACCGGTTTAACGATTAATTTTATGCATTTTGAGATGACTGACAGATGCAACGCCAAAAACGATAGAATTTAGTTAAATGTAATTTCCATTTCACGTTTCGTTAGTGATTTACCAATATTTTAAAAAAATTATTAAAAATCGCATGAGGGTGCTTCAGATAGATGCCCTTGACCCCCCCCCCCCCACAGTGACAGAATCCTTAAATTCAGGCGACTTAATTTCAAAGCCAACCCTACTGGCCTTAGTCTCTTATATTGAGATGACATGAGAGGAAATCAGAAATCAGAATTTTTTTATTTGCTTTAAACATGGTAGTGCACAGATGTTAACATAATGGTACGTCCTCATGTTTGACTTATTATTGTCATGCAAATTTAAAAGTAGTTACATTTTAGTCTACTTAGAGCTGAAAATAAGTTAACATACTAAACAGAAAACTAATGGTAAACATGAGTCACAGACAGAGCATTACATGTCATCATTTATAAATTGTATAATATTTTATGTCAAATTATTCAAGTCATAAAATAAAGTAAACACAGAAAAGCTACAAATACAGTTAAAATTTAAAAACCTCTTGGTCATCTAAGTATTCCCGGACTGAATAAAAGCACCTAGTGAAAAGCCAGGAATGTGACTTTCTTTTAAACAATGGTAACGGCAGAGCTTTGAAACTTGGATGAAGCTTATTATAAATTTTAATAGCCATACAATAACGGCTTCGTCTGTATAGTTGAAGTCTTATTCTAGGTTGCACAATCCTTTCTCCATGTCTCGTAGGTTTATTTTTGTTTTGCTCTCTAGTGACAAAATAGTGAGAATGTTGTCGTACAAAAATACACATTTGTTTAATATACAGGCACTGTAGCGGTAGGATTCCAAGTTTATTGAAAAGAGGTTTACAGCTTTCAAGAAAATGTACTCTGCAAATAGCCCAATACATTTCTTTTGGGCTATGAAAGCCCGGTTTACATCCGCTGAACCTCCCCACAATATAATGCCCACAATATAATGGCACATAGCCATGGTAGGCCGATAGAGCAGTTTCAATGGTGATGTGGATACATTACTGAGTCGTCGTAGCGCGTATACAAATTTATTTATTTTTGTACATAGATTGTCTATATGTGCTTTCTAGTCACAGAATTTATTTAAAGTAAATCCAAGAAATTTAGCTTCATTAACAATTTCAACAATATTACCGCAATAATTGACTAGTACATCCATTGACCTTGCTCTATAAGTAGTAAACTGGATTCCCTTTGTTTTTTGTATGTTTATTTTGAGATTGTTTGAATGTAGCCAATTGATTAGGTTGTGTAAAGTCTTGTTAATGATAATATTGGATTTTTCTATTTCTTCACATTTTATTACTACGGTAGTGTCGTCTGCAAACATGTAACATTTATGTTGAGTTGCATTTGGTAAGTCGTTAATAAATATCAAAAATAACAGGGGCCCCAAGATACTGCCCTGTGGAACTCCACATGGGTTGACACGATACTTTGACCGGAAAGTACACTGTCTGAATTCAACAACTGCTGCTATCTCAATACATTGCTGTCTATTATACAAATAACTTTCCAACCAGTCGTAAGCGTTACTTCTAATACCATATCGATAGAGTTATAGAGATAGAGGATAAGCTGCAATGTTCAAGCATATAGAGCCAATGTGAATTGTAGATGTTTTGTTTGATATTTGGAGGGTAAACACAAAATAAGTTATGGCTGAGCAGCTAGCGGCAACTGGATGTGTAAAGTTGAAGATTGTGATAACGAGTAACAGCTAGAGGCTGATGATGATGTAGTATAACTAAAGTTTGAAAAAGATTTTCGAAATTGCCCCAATCAACTATTTTTACAAATTTTCTATATGTTTTATAAGCAAATTATATATTTTAATGAAAACTGTAGATTACATTGGTTTGTGTATCATGCAGGCATCATAACAATACATCAGGTTAAAAATCATCCATGATGGATGATACGGAATGATCCCATCAAATATTTTATCTTTAAATTAACAGTTTTTCTTCATTCAGTGTTTAATACCTAATTAAAGTAATAATATTTTCTTTTGCAGTATAATGATATATACAACTTCCCACAAATGGCATTTGATTCAGCACTTAAAGCAGAAGAAGTCTCTGGTGAAAGTGAGAGTGAAAGAGAAGATGAGGAAGAAGAGGAAAGGGAAATAGAACCAGAACTTGAAAGAGAACTAGAAAAGGCAGTTGAGGAAACAGATGAGTTTATTGAAGCTAACAGTGATATGGACAGTGATGCTGTAAGTGTTTTATGTTATTTGGTTAGTTATTAGAGTACTTATTGATTACTGTGTCCTGGGTTGTATTATAACAAATTGTTGGTTTATTGGGCTGCATTTTTGTATTTGTACCTGTGATAATGGATTGAGTTCAGTTGATATAGTTAATATAAGCTTCTAATATACCAATCAACATATATAGTAAACCACATAATCGTGTAAGAATACCCACTACCCCATATTGTCCTGTGGGTGTTATAAGAGAGGACAGATGGAACCTGAAACAGGAGATGGGTAGCAGCATCCAATCTAGTTGCCAACCTGTTTACTAAGTGTGGCAACTATGGTAAAGTCACTGAGGCAGTGTAAGGGGGGTGGCTTGTTTCACAGTGAACTTTTAGAGGCAGAGTGGATAATTAACCACACTAAAAGTGAGTGTCTCTGTGTGCATACATAGATTGGTAGTTTTATGACTAGTTCATATAACAAACTTAAAATCTAGATTACGGAAGAAACACCTGTGCACATCCTAACTGATTGTGGACCCTTAATGAGCAAATGTGACACAAATTTGGGAAAGTATGTACTTAGTTGGTGCAGTAGAAGTGAAATTGCCCATGGCTAAGCAACTCCTTCTATTCATTGAAGACATAGGGCTTAGCAGTGAACCATATCCATAGCTGCAATCATAATCGATTTTATAGGTTGCAGTGATAATGATCTTTCTGGCCTGCATGGCTACTCACACACAAAAAAAACAATATATTATTCCAATTTATTTCTGCAAATGAAAGTTAATAGATTGTTAATTTCTTTCCTTTTTACTTATTTCAGGAGAGTGATTCAGGCAAGAAAGAAAATGTTAATGTTGAGAGTGACTTTGAATCAGAGACATCCGATATTGAGGTAAACAATGATATCACTTGTTTTTTATTAAGTAGAAAAATGTGTAAATTATCAATATTAATGTTACACTTTCTATTGCTCCTTGCATTTCTTTTATTAATAATCCACAAGAAAACTTTTTAAAGTAAAAACTCACTCGAATATTAGTCATCCCCAGCCTTTTTAAGTTCACAAGAGATAGCCCTTCAAAGTTTGATTTTCGAAAATTGGCTTTTGACATTAACAAAAAGATTGCATTTACCCCTAAGATAAATAATATAATATAATAAAATAAATAATTATAAATTAATTTAAAAAAAAACAAATATGTCTTTAGAAAAAGTATTTTAAAAGTGTTAATTTTTATTTAATACCTGGTTCAATAACTAAAATTATAACTATTTTGATGCAAATTTGGTAGAGCCACACTGCAGCTGTAGGCGAACGCTGCACGCGTGATATTTATCACGATCTGGGACGCGATCTGCAATGACGTATCGCGATCCATATCGACACACCCTACACGTTCATTACGGATCACGTCAGTATTGGGCACAAAACTGTTAAGTGCAGACATATCTAAAATGGACCTAAGTGTAGAAAAAGCTTTTTTTATAAGATAGGGTGACAAAAGACCTTGCAAAGCCGAGTTATAATATATGTGACAAATGAGCAACTGATAGTAAATAGATGCTGTGATCCATAGACATCTACATCTATCCTCGATTACGAATCAGAATGCAGATGCGTTGTCACCCGTGAGGACTAAGATAGAATGCCTCGTTTCCAGTAAAAAGGGTCTCCGGTTCTCTACACTTACCATACGAAACACAGCAGCATTAAGCTAAAATTTTACGCTGGTGTTGTGTGAGAGCGTGGTCCTTCCCCGGTCGAGCCGACCTATTCGTGCTTCAACCATACTACTAATATAACTGCAGCATGGCTCTACCACATATAAACACTTGCTTAAAACTTGTGTGGCTATCATTATGGCAATAATATTAAACAGGAGAGTGTCGATTTAAACGATTTTTTGCTAACTCACCATTAAAGCGTCATTTTTTATTTTTTTATAAATTGGTAGTAACTTCTAAAGTGCCTTCATGCGCTTTTACAATTGTTTTTAAAACCATCATACGATGTGTTCCATTATATGGGCGTTGTTTCCAAACATAATATATAAGCCTGTAAATATTTTTGATGGATTGTAGATGGTCCCGTCGAAACAGGATTGTCGCATTCGTTTGCGATTTCGCCCTCTTCATTACAAAAGTAGTCCTCTTCCATCGCTTCTCCAGAGCAGACTGACGCGATCCGTATCGCAGCAACACTACACGCGCGATATTTATCACGATCCTTGGATCGCGATATGGATTTTCGCAAAATCTAGAAATTCTGTGATCCATATCGCGATCCATCAATACTTGATACTACAGTTCAATAAACATCACGATCCTGGATCGCGATCCAAGGATCGTGATAAATATCACGCGTGTAGCATTCGCCATATTATGGTTGTGGCACAAATGGGTCAGTTTGACCAGGGTACGACCATGCTCTTACAGAAAAGTAGCGTAAAAGTAGCGGCTTAATGCTGCTGTATTTCGTATGGTGAGTGTTGAGAAACGGATAACCTTTTTACTGAAAACGACGCATTCCATCTTAGTCGTCAGGGGTGACAACGCATTCTGAATTTAGATTTTTATAATAATATATATATATATATATATATATATATATATATATATATATATATATAAAAATATATAATAATATATATATATATATATCCTTTATATCCCAAACTCCTATCTTATTCCCTTCTTATTCAGGTTTTTTATAATATGCCTCGGAGTTTGGTGTGCATCTTGGCAAAGGCCTCTAACGATTTTCATTATTCTCTATCTTTTGCGACTCGTCACCGTTTTATCACTATTTTGCCCCATTTATCTGGGGACTCTGTAGAATATGACCCGTCTTAATTTTGATTCTTTATCGAGGATAAATGTCGATGTTTATGGGTCACAGCATTCACTTACCATCTGGTGGACTGTGTCGTTTATCACCACCCTTATTCTATAAAAGTTCAAGTATTTTGAAATTGTCAAGTGTAGACGAAAATATATGATACGGTCCGAGATGTATTGCGTACTCTCTTTCCGCCTATTAGCAATGTGCATTTCGACTGCAAATCTAACACCAGAGTGTCTCGGTTTTGTAACCCGCGTCCCGTTCCAGAAGAACTAATTTCTGCCAAGTGAGTTTCACTAAGCGCAGCTATATTTTACTGTCGCAGTCATTTTTGAAGATTTACATTGTGGCTATGCGTTTTCGGCCATGAAGTATGAGATGCATAGGCAGCCGTGGTTACTATCTTCAAAACATTGGGTAAGCAGTTTTTAGGGCACTTTTTATAACCGATTCCCCGGCTGAACTGGGAAGTGTTGCTGCCCTAAATAGGACTGTTTCGACTTTCGGTACAGATTCAACGAAGAAACGACATATTTATAATACATATTTAGGTACACAAGTGTTCGCGTACACACATGTGTACAGTCTCGTCTTCCCTCTTCTAAACCCGACGGAGTGAAGACCACTGCGATTGTAGAAGAGTTCGGATGATGTGTTTGGCCGACAGGCACTGTAACTTCCTGCTGTCGCCATAGGCCGTACACCATTTCCTCCCTGCCGCACCGAGTCCGCTACAACCCATTGCATATCTGCAAGGGCTGCCTTTCTCGCCGCGACATATTTCATGCATTAGTTGGGAGAGATCCATCATAAAGTCGGCCCTGATAGAAGCAGACCACCCTCATCCAGGTTTATCCTGCGAGCCGACACGGTTTGTTGGGGTGTGGTCGCTGTGTGTCATAACAGCTGCTTGAATCCACTGATGAGAGATTTTCGGGGATTCAAGAGCGTCGATTGAGTTTCGTCCGCTATGGTGAATAGCCGGTTGACAGATGCAAACGCTAATACTCTGCTACTCCTCAATATGCCTAATACTCTTTCTCTGTCTTTATATAATATAAAAATTATGTGTCATATTGTTTGTCCACTATGAGCTCCTAAACTAATGAACTGAATTCAGTGAAATTTTGCACACTGTGTGCCGTTTGGTCCAACTTGAGTGATAGAGACAAGTGACCCTCAATATTTTTATTGCTAATTTATGGATTTTTTATAGGATAAATGGTCGTCGGAAAGGGCAGTACAACGGCTGCCTGGCCATCTAGTTATATTATGTATACCATGGCATTATATCTATTTCTTAGAAAATTTCGTGCCTGCCAATTTATGCAAGTCTATATTAAAATCATGGACTTCACTCTTTTTATGGATTATGGGGTAATATCATTGCATGGGTACTCTTGTTTTATTTTTCAATTTTGTTTTGTTACAGGATGTGACCATGAAGATAAGCAGGAAGAAACCACGGGTTGAAATTGAGTACGAAACGGAACCTATAGCAAGTGTTTCAAAGAAAAAAATAAAAAATTAATGTCTTTAAATCTGTCTTATTTTAAATCAATAAGCGCTATTGTAATAGCGGCATAAAAGAGTCACCTCATTTCCTTTCGTGATCGTAGTAACAGACTACTACTGTCACTATGTGAAGAGCCAGAAAAATCTTTTAGGTTTCGAAAAATGGCGGAACACCTTGTTTACGCCAGAAGTAAAACGCCCTGATCGGTGATGGAGAGCAGCATCATAGGTGCGAGACGTCAAGAACTACGATGTGTCGCATCTGACGGGTGTTCCTTGACGGCCAACCTTTTTTTACCATGATGTTAATTATTATTTTTGACAATTAAGATGTTCATGTTTACGTACATAAATAACATTTTCAAATGTGTACAGGCTTTTAAAAACTAGCTTCCTTAACGAATCAAGATAGCGCAAATTTTTAATTACACGAGCTGCCATTTTTGTCGCAAAATAACACAGTCTTCACATTAGCTGTATTTTGAAGTGAAAACTTCTTTAGCGGCGTTATACACTTTTTTGTAATGGGTAAAAAATTTTAAACTCGCGTCAGGACACGTGACCTGATCGAAAATTCGTAAGACGGATGGAGAGAGAGAGAGAGACGGCCGGCGCGGCGTAGGAGAGGAAGTATCCCCCTTTCTTTCTACAGCGCGGCGAAAATGTATGCCTGCGCCTGCTGTGTCGTTTAGGCGGCGCAGGGCGCTTGCGCTACATTCGCGGTAATATAAATTGTCATGTTTGTGTACGATAGCGCAATAAATAAATATTGTATTCTACCACATAAATGATAGTACTTTTATACTGATAAAGAAATTCGTGCAAAATTATTCTCTAACCATTCCAAAATATCAAAAATACACAACGTTAATATTCAAGTTTTCACTTCCGCCGGCACTCCCGGAGTGCAAAACGTTGTTTTTTTTTAAATAAATAAATATATAAATAAATAAATTTATTCACAAGAAATATGGTACAAAGATGTTCTTATAAAAATAATAATGATTCACATATTTCACCAATTTTGGTATATGAAAACTTATTTACTAATTAGCTTATGGCTAGACCATATACAAAAATTTAAGTAAAATTAAACATGCATCACTTTACAATCTTAATATTAATCGTTTAAAACACAATCAGATAAGAAACAGCATTTTACAGTCAATAGAAACGTTCTTTTATTTTTAGCAGTTCATTTACCGAATAAAACTGTTTTTCTAAAAGCCACTTTAATAAATTACGTCTAAATCGATTATAATCTAATTGCCTTATTTCATTTGGGATTTTATTAAACACTTGAATAGCCATCACATAGCAATTTTTTGAATACAGGCTAGTTTTTAATGAAGGTAAAATAATTTTATCTGGGTATCTGGTACTATATGCTTACTGTATCCTTTAATCTAGTAAAAAACTGAGGATACTTTTTTACGAATATTGAAAGTTCAAAAATGTACATGGATGGTAGCGTAAGAACACCCAATTCTTTAAACAGTGGTTTGCAAGAAACTAGTGGCCCGACACCACAAATTGCTCGTATACAGCGTTTTTGCGCTATAAAAGCACGGTTTACATCAGTCGAGTTTCCCTGTAATATGAGACCATATCTTAATATAGCAGCGACATACGCATGATATGCTATAAGAGAAGTGTTTCTTGACGAGATTGAAGTTAGCCTTCGCAGAGCAAAATTAAATTTAAATATTTTAGAACAAACTTTATCTATGTGATTTTTCCAATTACAATGTTTGTCTAAACTAATACCTAAAAATGTGGTACATTCAGTAGCAGTAATTTTTTCACCATTATACTTAATATCAAGTAATTGCGGTTTACTTTTAACATTGTAGAATTGCATAAATTTAGTTTTGGATAGATTTATGCTTAGATTATTGTTTTTTATCCATTTAACAACATTTATAATAGTATTATTTATTTCATTTTCATATTCTTTATTACTAGAATTAAAATTTATTTTCGGTATTAAAATAGAAATGTCGTCAGCAAATAATATTGTATTATGTTTGATGTAATTTGGTAGGTCATTTATGTAAATTAAAAACAGTAAAGGACCTAAACACTCCCTTGTGGCACTCCGTAATCATTTGGTAAGTACGAAGATTTATATTTTAAAATGTCTTGCCGTTTTTTATCTTTTTGTTGTACTTCAACACATTGTTTTCTATCTTTTAAATAGCTTTGTATCCAGGAGTAAGCTGGCCCTCTTATACCATAAGCTTCAATTTTTTTTAAGAGAATATCATGACCAACACTATCAAATGCTTTGCTCATATCAAAGTACACTGCAGAAATTGGTAATTTTCTGTTTATATAATCGGTTACGATTTTTATATGGGAAAAAGTTGCCAGTGTCGTAGATTTACCTTTTTTGAAAACCATATTGCTCTGGTTTTAATATGTTAAACTTATTAAAAAAGTCTAAAAGTCTTTTTTGCATAACTTTCTCATACAATTTTGATAATATTGATATTAGTGTAATTGGTCTATAGTTATTAATATTATTTCTGTCACCTTTTTTATGCAATGGTATCACAACGGATAATTTCAATTCTTTAGGAAAAATTCCCGCTTCAAGCGATTTATTAATGAGAAAACATAATACGTCTATGATTTTTCCTGGACACCTCTTTAAAACTTTTGTTTGTATTTCATCACAGCCATTTTGTGTTTTTAAGTGATGAAATATGGTTCTTAATTTCCGTTATATCACATGGCCTTAAATAAATACTAGATTGATTTCTTAGACTAGTTACGCTTAATTTATCCGCACTATTATGTGATATTCTGTCTTTAATTGAATAGAACCCATTGAACTAGCTGATTAAATGTTGTAGCTAGTTCAATGGGATTTAGTATATTTTGATTATTGACTGTGAGTCTATCAATGAGATTTGGATGTGTCTGACTATTTTCTTTTATTAGGTTCCAAGTGGCTTTAGTTTTATTTTTTGAGTTTAGTACGTATTTGTGATTCATCTGCTTTTGTGCCAGTAAAATAGTTTTTTTTAGGATATTTCTATAAAGTGTATATTTATTTTTGTTCTCGTGAATTTTATTTTTATAATATTTATAGCGAAGTGCACGTTTGGTTCTACAGGAAATTCTTATACCATTTGTAATCCATTTTAATTTTTGATCAAAATTATTTACTTTGACTTTATTTATGGGAAAGCACAGCTTATAAATTAGTACAAACGTGTCATAAAATTTTGTAAATGCTTTTTCTATGTTATCCTCCTCATATACGTCCAAGAATGATAATGATTTTAAGTGATTGCAGAAACTGCTAATATTACTTTCCGTGTATTGTCTTCTAAATATATAATAATGCCCAGGAGACTTTATTGTATCGTTTAACAAAAAACTTAATGTTTGCCCCGTGTGATCTGATAGACCTAATTCATGGACTTTTCCGATAGCTCCTTGTATATTACTTGCCATTTGGTCTATACATGTATGTTGTCTCGTGTTTCCGTTATATGCATTTGAAACCCATAGCTTTTTAATAAACTTCTTAATCTATTAGATTTATTATTCAAAATTAACATATTTACGTTAAAATCGCCAGCAATTATAATTTTATTGTTTATTTTTTCACGTAGCTTATGTAATAAAGCATCAAGTTTCGTAAAAAATGTACTTATTTCCGAGTTTGGTGTCCTATAAATACAAATAATAATACATTTTTGTTCAGTCAATTCTATACCGCAACATTCAAACTCAATTTCCTTTGAAAACGGTTGTAAAAAATCTAAGATGCGATACTTGAAATTATGTTTTACAAGAATACACACACCACCACGTTTTGATTGTTTTCTTGAAAAATTGGCAGCCAGTTTAAAGTTTTTAAAAAACTCATCTCCAATTCTGTTAGACAAATCACGTCTATTGGTTCTTTAGAGTAATTAAATTCTGCGATGCACGCCTCAAGTAAATCTAATTTTCCTAGTAATCCTGCTATGTTTTGGTGAAATACTCGCATATAGGAATTTACTATTTTATGTATTTTATCATTTATTAAAATACTGTTTCTACAGATGTCTAATGCCTTAATTTCGAAATAAACTGTTTTTTTTCTATGATTGGAAAATAAAATGGGATAGTTCCTTTTTTGAACTTTATAGGTCCCTTTATGTCACTCACACTCTCTATTATATCCAATTGAACCCCAGATTTTTCATTTAAAATATTACGTTTTGTTTTGTTTTTTATATTTGCGAAATAGTAAGGAATTGTACCTTTCTTATGTATTTTATTAATTAATTCAGAACATTTAATTAGTGTTGAACGCTGTTTAATAATATTTTTTAGTTGGGAATAGTCTAAAAATTGTTGATCATAATCTATACAATCAATTATATAGTTAATTCTTTTACAAGTGTGGAATAGATTTTTATAATAGGAATTTTCTTTTATAAAATAACAGTTTTTATATTGACTACATACTTTTATAATATTGGAATTTATCATCCCTGTATTTAAATGTCTATTATTTAAAACATTTAAAATAATTACAGTATGTTTTCTTAGTTGTTTTAATGTTATATATAATTCTGATGAAACAGCTAGAGGATTTTTATCGTTTTCACCAACACAAATAATAATTTTATCTGACGGACCATAATCTTGATTGAGAACACAACTTTTTAGTACATTTTCAGTTAAAGCATCAGGTTTTGTATAACCGATTATATCATATTCCTTATATTTACTATGTTCTCTCGAACGAAGCAACGCTGAGGCTAAGCCGACACATTGTTGCGTTCCAAATATAAATATTTTTCTTTTTTTAATATTGCAGTTTGTTTGACGTAGATGCTGAATATCTTCCTCCAACTTGTTTTCTAGTTCTATGTTTTTGTTTTTAGTCATTAACAGGTTATTTTTGTCATCTATCCTGACGTCTTTTATTGCCGCTGTTGGCGTTGTTAAATCCAATTTATTAGATGTTTGCGTTTCTAAATCTAATTTATTAGGTGTTTGTGTTACTAA